GCGCACATCATCACCTTCGGCCTGCCGGGCCACCTCGACTTCTGCAGAAATTCGTTCCTTTTGCACATATCCCTGCAAACGCTGAAAACACCTCAACTTGGATCCCGACTGCGACAAATTCAGGAATTTGCACCCGGCACGCAAAGCTCCAAGAGTCGACTCCAACGACAGTCCTACACCATTCACTGTGATCACTGAATCCTGTTCGGCATGCACTGCTGAACCCGGCTCCACCGTGTCGGGAAGTGGCACAGGAGCCACGGCTTCATGCTCCGGTGGATCGGACTGACCTGGCACTTCGGGCATCTGTTCATCGGCATCTTGCAACTCTAGCTCTGCCTGCAACCCGCTGTCATTCACATGCTCCGAGAGTCCCCCGGGGAGCTCTACACCGAAGTCACCTGGCTCTTCTTGATTCATGCTGAGCACAGTGATACAGTCGCACATACCGCATGGCAGCAAAGCAACAGGATCCTTAAGCTCTAGCCACTCGACACACCATTCAAGCATTTGCCAGCCTGCACCTGCATACACCAAAGTGGTGCGATGTGGCCACGTGATCGGCACAAGTGTGGCTGGATCAATGTACCTGTCAGTTCTTCCCCGCCACACAAAATGCCCTGTGCTCTCTAAGGTCTGCCAGCCAAACGATGCATCAACCAGCTCATTGCTGGGACTCGCGCTTGTCGCGCGCACATGTGACTCCTGCTCGGAATCCGGAACTCGGGCCTCCGGATCTCTGGCATCCGGCTCCTCGCCACTTGCTGTTTCAGCATCTGCACCGTCTACCCTACGCAAAGTGGCATGAACCATCAGACTATTTCCTCGAAAAATCAATCGGAACCATCACTCCACTCTCCTGGTGCTGCAAAAACATCCCGAAATCGTCTTTGGACGGAATCCATCCTGCACGCATCAGTTTGCCCAATGCCAACAATGGCTGCGTGACTGATGTCACGATGCACCTTTCTTTCCAAACCACTTCTCGCCCGTCATGGGCCTTCAGTGAGAATTCTACATCCCGTGTGTTGTTGACTGGCAGGCGCCCGCCTTGGGCATCACGCACCGCGATGCGGCCTGCTTTCGGCCCTCGCACTCCTGTGGACCCCAAGGCGATTGGCAAACAGCTCAAGTCAGCCCCTGAATCCAAAATCACTTCCAAATCAACCTCAGGCCTTGCACCATTCACTGCTCGGACAGAAACTGACACGGCTGGAGACACCTCGACCTCACGCAGGTTGGTCTCAAGCACAGAAGCTGCCACATCGCCCAAAATGGGCTCCACACCGTCATGCTGGAGCTCAGGCTCAACAGGGCTCGGCACGCCCGGCAACACAAGCCCATCTGCATCGGAATCCGAATACGTCATGTCGAAAAACTGGCATGGTGCATGAAAATGAAAATTCTCGGCATCGGGCCCAAATTCTGGCCCCTCAAACTCAGCAACGATAGCCCTGATGTCAACGGAAGCTGGGCTCTGCACATCGCTAAAATCGAAAATCAAAGGCTCTGAAGCATCAACGCGCCTGACTGTCGTAGCACTGCCGGCCACGGATTGCTGCGGATGCTGGCTCGCGCTCGGGCCCACTGTGCTTGGCGCTGGGCTTCCACTTCCAACGGCACCTGACTGCTCAACTTGATTGATCTGCTTGCGATTGGGGTTCTGATAGCACAAATGCTGTGGATGGCCAGTTTTACCGCAGAACCAGCAAACAAGGTTAGGATTGGCCTTGCCTTTGGGATTGCCCTTCTTTCCTTCGCCTTTGCCTTGTCCTTTCTTGCCTTTGGGCTCACCCTTCTTACCACCACCTTTACCACCCTGGTTATTGTACCCATAACCCTGATAACCGTGTGCACCTGCTGACTTGCCCTTGGGATCGCCTTTCTTTCCTTTGCCATCGCCACCCTTCTTGCCTTTGCCCTGTCCTGGGCCTTTCTTGCCTCCTTTGATGCGATTCAGCTCTGCAATCAGCTGCGTAACACGGCTAACATCCATGGGCATGGGGTCCTGATCTCCCGGTGGCGGCGCAACGACGCCCAAGGACTGATGAACCTTCGTGGTTGACCACTGGGTCGTCGTGGTCTCGTATGAGACCACATAATCTCGCACAGCAGAATACGTAGTCGTCTCAGTCATTTGCAATTGGATGTGCTGGCGAATGGCCTGTGGAAGACATCTCAAGACCGTCCCTAAGAGGACGTCATCTCCGACCGGCTTGCCGGCCACTCTCTCGTATTCAGTTGCCAAGCGTTCCAATGCTGCCAGCTGCTCTCTCAATGTTTTGTCCTTCGAGAATGCTGGCATGGAAACAACTGCGTTCATCAGGGCCAAGGACCGGGCCTTTGACTTGGGCGCATACACACCCATCAACTGTCGATACACTTCGTACCCATTTCGATTCTCCACCTGCCGAAGCAGGGTGCGCGGCTTAGCCTTCAAAAGCGACGCCAAAATGGCGTATACTCGTTGGCTGCGCGCCTGCGCTGCTGCACTCATGCGAGCACTCACCAAAGACCGATCCAAATTTTGCTCGATCTCCTGCATTTCGGATTCAAATGAAGCATCTGCGAAAATGAGCCAACTCTTAAACCCGTGGGACCACTCCTGCCAGATTGCAAGATCGTGATCGTGGCTCGAGCTCCCGAACTCGTCAGGGCGCTTAAGTATCCTATTGGCATCTGAAAACCCCGAAGTGGTGGAACCTGAGGGCGCAGCATCCTTGCTGCTCAGGGCGCTTACAGCAGCAACTGCTGCCTGGCTCGCGGCTGCGGCCGCCTGCGTCATCTGTGCCATCATTTGCATCATGACCTCCGGTGTCATGTCCCTAGTATGTGCCGAACCTGTAGGCGAAAACGGAAAAGGGTTGCCTGCATCACCACCATGCTGCGAAGCAGAAGCGGGATCGGCACCCAGCTCATCATCAGTATCATCACCTGCCGGCACTTGTGCTGGATTGGCATTCGCCATCGCTCTCACAAAGCTCGATCACGCCTTCGGAGGGGCGTAGCTCAGAAAACGAAGTGCAACTGGGCTCAGGATCAAGGTCTAGGCACTCAGCTGAACGTTTCAATGACTGTTTGAACAACACACGATCAAGGTCTGCGGCTGCTGCGAGGGAGCGCTCACACTCCTGCTCTGGATGCACGCTACGCACTTGAAGATCCCAGGGAACTGCTGCCTCAAAGGAGTCTTCGGCTGCAAAGTAACGAAAAGCTTCTTTCAAATCTTGGTCCTTCAGGCACCGTTCACCAAACTGGAAAACCTGCTGGACAGTGGTCAGTGAAGCAAGATGGGCCTCGAACCCTTCTCTCTGCGTAGCAACAATGCGGTTCCAACCTTCTGCAGTGCGGTTGATCGGCCGCTCCCTCTGCACAAGCTGTTCTACGTAAAACTCAAGCAGTCTGTTCTTGACAGCCTCGATGCTGTCTTCGGTGGTCGTGGCTTCGTGAAGAGGCGCCGGCTATGGCGCAGGAGAAACACTACAGTTTCACCGAAGCTGTCCAAGAAACCCGCAGAAGCAACAGCTCACAGCCCAATGGCCCCTGAACGGAAAACCCGAACCGGAACCAAAGAAGTCACTGGTCTCCCTGGGAGCCAGTTCACCCACGTGTGTCGGAACCCCCGGACGGCCAGGGGCTCCGCTACCATGAACAAGTTCCCACACTTTTCAACCTCACTCTGAGCCTGTTCGAGCAACGCGGAGCGAAAGGTCTTTCAAGTGAAAACGGAGTCAAAAGCTACTACTGTACACGTGTGTTACTGTTACCAAAATCATACATGTATGGGGTGTCAAAGTTGTTCAGATTTGGCCAACATCAACAAGAGTCCCTGCCAAATACGCCTGCAAGGCGTGCTGTGTGGCTAAGAGGGGAAGATCACCCGACTTGCAACAAAACCACTGCATACAAGGGATGTTAGGGAAATCTTCGATAAGCACGCGGTGACAGACTTCCGTGAAGCTAGCTGCCGCTAGGTGTGGCTCATCACCTGTCGGCAAAAGAAAATTAAGATTGGGCGGCACTGGATACACCAGTCCTGTAGGGAGGGCTTGTCGGAGGTGTGCGGCAACTGACAGGGGCAGCTTGACGGCAGTAAAGCATTGATGTTTTAATACATGAAAGCCAGCACTGTACAAGGAAGTAAAACAGGTTTGTGCCCCGTTGACCCAGCCCACATCCGTGCCAGCCGTAGAGTTGTCATCCATGTAAGCCTTAAGCATACGCACACGTGGGATGCGCTGCAATGCACAGATCAAGGGGTCCATCGCAATGCAGAACAAGAGCACGGAAGTGGCTCGACCCATCGCCAAACCTTGCCGCATGCGTAAAGGAGGCAAAAGGAAGCCTTGAATACGATGAAGGGACTTTCGGCCATACAGGAGATGTATAGTGTACTGGCGCATCCACTGGGGTACACGCAGTTTTTCCAGGACCTCCATAAGCCAGCCGGGATTGACCCGTTCAAAGGCCTTGGCCATGTCTGTCAATAATACATTGCATGGATGAGTTTCGGATAGAAGGCAATCCTGCACCATCATGAAATTGGCAGGGGCCTCCTTGAGACTGCTCACCAGAGCTTGGGATTGATTGAGGCGAGGAGCAATGGCCGCCATAGCAGACGCGAAAACCGCAGAGTCAATAATGCGCGCTGCCGTGTCGGGCATGTCAAGCGGGCGAAAATTGTCAGCAAAATGTCCCGCATCTGCCTTAGGGATAAAAGTCATGGCTGCACGCGAAGCGCTTCACACACCGATTTTCTCCTCCGGATGCATCGTTGAGGTTGGACTGCTGCCACATTTAGGCAGCCTGTACTGCCCAGAGTCTCCGGGCGGGCGGGAGGGCCCATCAACTCGCGACATCACATGAAGCCATGCAAGACATGGCTGCACGCGAAGCGCTTCACACACCGATTTTCTCCTCCGGATGCATCGTTGAGGTTGGACTGCTGCCACATCTAGGCAGCCTGTACTGCCCAGAGTCTCCACTATGCAAACCGGCCATCAGCGAAAAGAAGCCCAGGGGAGAAAAGGAAGGAGGGCGTCGGCCGCAAGGACGGATTTGCGAGAGCTCGAAGACAAACTAGGCAACACCGAAGCAGCTGTCGTCTCCTGCAAGTAGTGCGCCAAAGTGTTTTGGTGTCCGAGACGCATCCTCCATTGCAGCTCCTGAATAGGCACTCCTCTCTTATGAGCTGTCACAGCTCCACCACCGCGGAGAGAGCCAGGAGTCAATCTGAGGTTCTTAGGCACGTCCAGAGCTCGGAGCACCTCATCCCACCGGCGACGATAGACGCCAGCAGAGCCGCCAAAGAGCTTGAGCTCGGGGTCCAAGTCCTGAAAGACAGCAATAATGAACCTCAGAACATCCTGAAAGGCTTCGACGGTGGCATGCTGAATACGGGCTCCACGATGACGGGTCTTCGGAGACCTGATGAGAAGATAAAGCTTCCCAGCAGGATCTAAAGCATCCTCAGGCGTCAGTAGGTCCCGGCGGCTTGCAGCTAGGACCTCCCCGATTCTGGCAATCGCGTAGAAGCAGAGCAAAGTGATAGCGGCGAAGCGCCTCCAGCCCCAGGAGATGCTGACAGAAGAGAGGGCTCGAGTCAGCACTTCCGGAATCGGAGGGCGGTGCTGCAAGGGCCCTAGCCGTTCCCACCGTGTGACATAGTCCCAGGCCGGTCGCATGATCGGTCGGGCCTGAGGCACGACCAGCTGGGCGTGAGCCAGCAGCTGCCTGTAGTAGCACAGCGGGGTGCCAGCGTCGTAAAGGATCTGAGCGTAGATGCATAACATGCTGACCAAAAGTCCAGGGACCTCGAGGGTCGAAGCGACTCCGTCGCGCCCCAGCTCGGACTGAAGGTAAGCAATAAAAGCGGCCCAGTGCTTGTCACGAACCGCGGCAGTGCGAGGCTCGACCAGCTCGACCTCACTCAAGCAGGCGGGAGTCCGAGGCTGAGAGTGAGCAGGCCCCGGAAGAGAAGCCTCACCGATCCGTCCAGGTCCAGCCTTAGCGCAGCGGGAGATGTCCAGGCGTCTGTGGCGGTCAAAGAATCCAACGTCCTGAGCAATCGCAGAGCCGATGAGGCGAGCCAGCCTCCGAGGGAAAGGCTCAGCCAACACCGTCCAGGATACACCACGAGCAGAGCAGCGACCGCGAAGTTGAACGTGAGGTCGGGCACAAGCGCATCGAATGCTCTGACCTCCAAGTTGACCGCTGCACCGGAATCTTGCAGACTTTCGCCAGGGAGCTCCAAAGCGGCATGCGTCTGCGAAGAAGTCAGCATACCGCCTCGCCAAGATGGCCCAGCAGGGCTGTTTCCAGAACCAAGACTTCACGGGGTTGGAGATCACGAACTCAAGTCCCTGAGCAATGGCGACGTCAGCCAACAGGACACAGAACTCACAGAGCAGATTGTCCCTGCTTGCGCGGAGCCCATGTTCAACAGGAAGGTCTGCGCGGCCGCACGGCTCAGCGGCGGTACGCCAGGCTCGGGAATTAGCAGTCGAGAAGCTTCCCGCGGGAGGATCGGCTGAAAAGCCCAGCACGGCCCCGGAGGCAAGGAGGCGCACCAGAGTAGCCTGAAGCTCCGAGTCCAGAAGGTTTTCCTCAGCGTCATGCCTGCAGTCGAAGCAAAGGACCCACCATGGCGCGGCATCGACGAGGGCCTTCGCGAGGCTCCTAGACCCTGAAAACAAGTCAACCCAACCCGGACCGGACGACAGAGCGGACTGGAGGGAAGGAAAGACAGAAGAGAAGACGAACTGCCCGGGAGAGAAGGAAGCGAGAGCTCCAAGGGCCTCAGCGCTCAGAGGCCGCCCGCAGCGCGGGCTCTCAGCAGAATCGTCGCAGCCCGACTCGGACCTGTCGGCAGACGAGTGCGTGAAGGCTCGGGGCTTAGGAAGGGTCGTAGGGCCGTGCTCGGGGAACCCAGGACTAGCTACACTAGAGTCACTAGAGTGCTGTTTAGGGTCAGGCAGGGGTTCGGGATCTGGCAGCGATGGCTCAGGGAGCACGAACCCAAGCTGCACAGCGCTAGCCTGGATCTCTCGGGAGGCCCGGTCAAGCCCGTTGATGCTGTAAGCAACAAGAACATACCTAGAGCCGCGCCAGTCTTCAGTCGCGTGAAGGCGGTGAGGGTCGAAGAAGACTGGCTCGCGACTCAGATCGACAACCTTGCCCGCGATTTCGCGGCCATTGACACAGCGCACGTCAGGGCCGCCCTCGCAACACACCCACAATCCACCGCCCTGAACCTTAGTCAAACCGAAGATGAGGTTAGGCTCGAGGCACGAGTTGTTGGCATCGACGTGAGCATCAGCCTTCATGTTCCGGAGAAGCCCTACCGTAGTGAACCTAAACCCAGGCACGAGTCGGCGCACAAAGGCACACAGGACACGAGTTGCAACCGGGTGCTCCAAGGTCGAGCTCCTAAACCCTATGACCCCGCCGTGCACAAACATCCCAGTGATGAAGCATTTGGTCCCCGAGCTCGGCTTGCCCCTGGGCGCGCGGTGGCCTGGGAGCAGGCGAAGCAGCTGGACGAGGTCGGACTTCAGCACGTTGGGTGACCTCAGCAAGCGGAGAGCGAGGCGTTCGGCAGGCAGCCTAAGCTTCGACTCCGGGCTACGGAAGCGGTCAACGCTTGCGAGGGGCACGTCTGGAAAGAGGTCGCTCACTGGTGGGAGCTCCCTCAGTTGGTCCAGGTGGACTCCCAGCTTTGACAGGTGTACATCCGTGGGCCCAAACGAGCCTTGGAGGAACTCCTTGAACCAAGCGGGCGGGTCTTCGCAAGGAGGTCTAACTTTCTTAAGCCTAGTAGGTGGGTCTTAGCGAAACCGTAAGAGGGCCGGGTGTTGTACCCCAAATGGTCAGGCAAAGACTTGCGGAGGGCGGCGTTGATGCAGCCCGAGGCGCTTCGGCCCTTAACCAAACATGCTAGCGAAACCTGCGAGTCTTGGAGGTGGCAGTACCGCGAAGAAGGCCAGAGGCGGCCGACACGGCTTTCAGCAGCCAGGGCGGCTCGTAGTTCTCCAAGATTTATGTGTCGCCTTTGTTTAGCCCGCTTGACACGACCAAAAGGCTTGAACGGAAGCACTCGACAGGCGGTCTCCCAGAGGGGATGGCTCGTGTAAGCTCCGCCTGGCAGTTGGTCCTCGTCAGGGAGCTCTCCGCGCTCACGCAGCAGTGCATCAAGGGGCTTTAGCAAACGGCTCCACATACCTTTCTGAAGGCCGTGGCGGCAACACTCGACGGACACCGAAGGGTCCACAGGAGTTGACACGGCAGCCTCCAAATTAGAGGAGGCATCGCTAGCAATCAAGACGGGGGCTCCAGGAGTCCGAAAGTCCATGCACGCCTGAGGAAGGAGGACCATAGCACAGATCAGCTCGTCCCTGAGCTCGGGAGTCATGCGAAAGGCGGCGCGAGGCGGCAGGCCCCGAGGCTCCGAATAGACCTTGTCCAGCAGGGACATCAGCCGTCGGCGTGTCTGAAAGACCGAAACAAGTGACCCGGTAAGGACCTCGATAAGACCCGGCGTAGCCATGCGACACTCAACGGCCTTCAAGAGGAGGGCCCCAAGGGGAACAGTGCGCTTCGGGTTAGGACGAATGGTCCCCTCAATACCATCGAGGAGACCCCCCCAAAATTCCGCCTTTAGGGCTTGAGACACTGACTTATCAGGATGTCGGGGAAGGCGGGCCTGATCATAGGCTCGATGCACGGCCGTCATCACATCAGGAGCCTGGTGCGAGGAGGCCGGGGCGGAGGCTTCGACCTTCTCGAGAACCGCGAGGTCGTCGATCAAGAGACCCGCAATCAGGCCTTCACGCGGAGGGCGGCCCGAGAGCGTCACAAATTGATCCAAAGCAAGGGCCTGCGATCTCAAAAGAACACTCAAGTGCGAAGCTTGCCCGAAGCCGACTGCTGAGCAGTCGCCCATAGCCAAAGTTTTGAGGCATGGGTGCAGCGAGTGATGCTCGTGCAGATCAGCAGTAAAGCACTTCAGGTGAGAAAGTTCCTTCGGCGAGAAGCAGACAGCAAGGGCATTGCGACAAGACCTCTGAGCTCCAACGATGAATGCATGATAAAATTCCCGAAGGTCCTCAGTCGATGCGGTGAGGCGCTGGCTGGGCTCAAGGTGAAGCCACTGAAGCTGCTCGAGGGAGGCAAGAGATCTGATCCAGGGCTGATGGGGCTCCTCAGCCTGATTAGCCGCTCTGGCATCCAAAACCATGCGATCCCTCGTAAGGCTCTTCGGCACAGTGAACAACCCGTTGACCAGCCGGGCACGCACCCGCGAGGAAGGAAGCAGAGACAGTCGATCACAAGCGTCCAGGACCTCCATGAGCCTAAGGGCGCCGGCTCTGCTGCATTTCACTTGGACACGGGGAACCGGCTCCTCCTGAGGCACAGACCGAGCAAACTCAAGAGGCCGCTCGTAAACGGCCCGGCTGGAGCTGTCCAGATAAGGCGCAGGGTCAAACGAGGGAGTGCCCACGAAATGAAGCCGGCTGGCATCCACAGGTTGGGCGAGGCTCGCAGCCTCGAGACTGAGCTTCCCGCAGACCTTAGAAGGGAGCCAGTCGGAATCAGGGGAGCTGAGGGCGTCGGGGCGTAGAGAACCCTCCGCTGCGCTCCAGCGAGAGAGCTCATCCAGCATCCGCTCGCAGCTTTCGACTTTGGCAGCGCTCCGGCCCATCTCTTCAGGGCCGACGACAGGCTGGGAGTTCCAAGCAGTGATGCCGCGACCAAGGGTGCGAACCACAGCCCACTGCTCAAGCGAAAGAGGCGTGCCCAAGCCAAGGGGAGCAACGCTTCCAACGCAAGATGGCTGGCCGCAGTACAGCCAGGAAAGAACAAGCACGGTAGCATTGAGCGCGAGCTTGCGACAGATGTCGGGTTGGCGTCTCCTTGCTTTAGGCAGGTGGAGACTAGGAAAAGGCATGGGCATAGGCCACACACGCCCTTTGGGCCCCGGCAGTTTGCCAGGTGAAGCAGTCCGGAGGGAGTGCCAAAAGGTTGCGAGGGGAGATTTCGCTCGCCCAAGCACGGAGAAAAACTGAGTCCAAAGACTGTCGGCACGCACGGGGCTAGCCTGAGAACCGGGAAGATTAGGGGTCTCAGGGGAGCTCAAATTCTTAAACACAGTAGGATTAGTGCAGTCAGGAGGGGCAGCCTTCACTTTGGCGCCTCGCCCCGCGCACGGCCCTTCCCGGGCTTCTCGGGCTTCTCCTTGTCGGGATCGCTCGAGGTCGATGGCTGCCCGCGAGGCGCAGAAAGCTTCTTGCGGGCTTCGATGAAGGATTCTCTTTCTTTGATGCGATGCATCAGGACGCTGATCCAACGAGGATCCATCACCTTGGTCTGGTGGCTTTCGCCTGGTTCGGGAGGTCGATGGCGACTGAAGCTCGAGAATGGAGGGCCCGGTTCGAGAAGCATCTCGGCTGCGAGGAGCCAGCTCCCCGAATCTAGGGAACTCTGGTCTAGAGCGGCTAACATTAAACACAGGCGGGCTTTGCACTCTTCTTCGCGTCCTGCGAGCAGCGCGTCGAGAGCCCCCGCCGTTTGCCAGCCCCAGCGGACTGGGCCCGTAAACTGCTGGACCCTGCTCCTGTGTTCCAACCAGGCGCGGGAAGTCATAGGCAGATCTTCGAGCCCCGGTGCAGCGGTGTGGCCCTGAAAGTCCTCGGTCATGAGGCGAAGGATCGAGGAGGATATCTTTGCAGGATCCTCCTTGAGCAGCCTCGCGAGCTTCAAGTAGGCAGCCGCCTTCGACGAACCCCCGCTGCTCGAGCTGCTCGACCCGACCTCCTCGCCGCGGTCCAGAAGATCCTCCAAACTCCCGCCGGCTCGAGGCTTCGAGAGGCGGCTGAGGATCTGAGTCATCTTGTGGATGGACTCGGCAACCGACGCCGCCTCTGGCTGTCCTCCGGCATCGGCGGCGTCCTCCTCCTCCTCCGACTCCGAAAGAACCGTCTTGACCTTCCTTGCACCGTCGCCTAGCTTTACAGGCTTGGCTGCGAGCTGCTGCATGAGGCGCAGCTGGTCCTCGGGCACTCCGGCCCCCCTCGCGGCTGCGAGCACGGCAGGATCTAGCCCCGACGCTGCGGGCCCAACTGGGAGAGACTTCGGCTTGGCTGCCAGCTTGGCCTGAGGCTCCGGGGCACAAGGCGGAGGCGGATTCGCGGCATTGCGATTCGAAACTTCCTTTAGAAGAGCATCCAAACCGCCTTGCAGACCTTGAATCGCACTCTCCAAACCCCGAACCCGCGAAGCGATATCCTCGCTCTGCTCTTCTGCAGCTGACACGAAGCCGAAGTGGTCGCGGGCGATAGAGGCAAGGGAAGGGCCGAAAGGCAGGATCGGCTGTTCGGACCCTGAAACAGTAAAGCCTCGCTCCCCGGACTCGTCCTCGTCCTTCGCCAATACAAACTCCTCGTAGTCGGTGTTGAGCAAGCCCATCCAGACTCTGACCTTGAAGTGGCCATGCGAACAGCCGCGATCGGCGGGATCGGCGGCCAGAACCTTGGCGTGACATGGCTTCAGCAGGGCTGCCCGAGGTAAGTAGCAGCGTTTGGTGACCCGGTGCCAAGCGTGATGAGGCACTGCAACAAGCAGTTGGCCGTCGACTTCGGCTATAAGGATCAGACTGCATGAAAGAGGCCCCGATTCACCCTGGCACTGAAAAGCAGCAACCTTGTAGCTGAGAGCAGCTCGGGGCGATCGAGATAAGACCAACGCACGCAGATCGGGGAGCCGGGAGTCGGCTTCCTCCCCCGAGTCCCGTTCCTGGGACTCACGTTCCAAATCCTCACTCGGCATCTATCCCACCAGCTGGCCAATCAAAGCCGGTTGTGCGGAGAACGATGGCAGCCTCCCACTGGGAGGGGACTCCAACAAAGATGCTACGGCCCGGATCTGGACCTCGCTTGCACAAACTCTTGACAGCGCTGAAGGAGCTGAAGATCTTCGGGGATGCGTACTTCTCACCACTGTAAGGAGCCAGGACGATGTACAGGCGGGAGGCTAGTGCAACCTTATCCCTACCCGAAGTTCCGCGGTGGCCTCCTGAGTAGGCGCGGCGGAGAAACTGCCCGATCTCTTTTGCCACACTCACACGCTGCGGATCCTTACCACTCTCCAGGTCGGCAAGTCGCACAGGGCTATGAGAAGGCAGAGGCGAGGCTGGGGGACGGGAGTGCTCTAAGTAACCCGAAGAGGCAGCTAAACCCGAAGGGGGAGTGGAGGGAGACGCTACTTCGAAGCCTTCCGAGGCTTCGAGAGCAGCGACACGCGCAGTGAGCCGGCGCAGCTGATCCTTAAGGTCAAGCACTTCAAGCTCGCAGCCGTAGGACCTCACTCACTCATCCAAGAGCCTATACCAACCTCTAGACAAGTCAGGGCTTGCGTTGGTGGAGGCGCGATTCCCAGAATGATGTTCATGAAGTGCGTATGCAGCGTGCTTTGCCGACTCAGAGGGCAGCTGTCGGTAACACTCATAAGGACATCCGTCTGGCCCAGCGGAGAAGTCACCCGTGCGCAAGAAATGATAAAGGATATCCTCTTGCCGTGGGAGGATGCAACGATTGGCTGGCTCTGGGTGATAGTTATCTAACACAAGCTCCCAATCAGAAGAATAATCTGGCGAAAAAGACTGCCAAAAGGCTCTAGTGGCTGTGCTGTGTCAACCTCCCCCAATGTGGCACAAGGGGACCCATCAGGCCGTAATACATGAGCCGTGCCGAACGATCCTAATGACGCCCGATGGAGATCCCATCTTAGGGTGCCGGCTTGGCATGCGCGATCCTACTTGCTTCGCGTCCTTGATGATAGGAGGAGGAGCAACATTCAACCGTCTCAAGGGTTGCATGACAACTCGTTGGGCCTCAAGCGCACTGATGGATACAGGCTGACCCTCCGTATAAGGGTGCCTTTCACCAACCAGATGTCGAAAAGTTTGGAAAATGTCCCAAGGGATGACAAAGGAAGAGGCATCCGGTCGAGCACGCTGTGTCGCTTCAACAAGTATGGGAGGGCGCCATATTTTCCCTGAGCGACTGCTTGAGATGTTTGCTCAACTTCACCTGCCCACCACACATGGAACAAACCTTGCAAGTCCGACAGTGAGGGAGGAGAAGGGAGAAGGGCTTTTAGTCGCTCAAGGCGCAGTGTGGCAGGTGACCCTGCCGGTCGTTTAAACGCTCTAGTGGGGATCGCTTGATAAGAAGCAGCACCAATGACTCTCAAGGTAACAATGCCGTGACCCTGAGGGATTGCACTAGGCCAGAAAACACGACTATTTAGGTTGCGACAGCCCTCTGCCTTGTCATTGCATTGTGGAGTATAACATCCAAACAAGACGTCCTCCCAATATTGCCTCCAAGCACTGATTAACAGACGCTTGCAAGAACGGTGGGGGAGTTCGTGAAAGGCAAAGTTGCCCGAAGGGCGGAGAGAGATGAACGAAACGGGGGTCCTTGCAGATGCCAAATCAGATTCAAAGAGCGCACACGACATCGCCTATTATGAGCTTGCTGAGCCGCTCAGAATTGGAAGCAGCGAAGGAGGGACACCCTCACATAAGGGTGTGGGAGTAAGAATCGTCACCTCCTTTACGTAAACAAGGCAGTGTGCGCGCAAGATTTGGCATCCAAGTTCTCAGGAATCGACGTGATAGGCGTGACTGAAGGGACTTGCTGCGGCGGCACTCACTGCGTACGCGCAAACACCTGTAAAGTGACAAGTGCACGTACTGAACAGAGCACGGACTAGTTGTAGAACCCCATGTTCGCATGGGAAAAGTCAAAGTTCCACGACCCTACATCCTCAGAAATAAGATTTTTCTAAGGATAGTCGCACCTCACCTTATATCGGAAGGTACACAAGAACCCCTGTCATTAGTGACACTCGCACTTGGCTATCTTTTCCTACCTTGCATCAAGGACTTCGAGAGATGAAATTTTCGTTGCTGGAGATTTTAATCGCATGGCCGAGAAGCACGCGGGTCTCTGGGACCTAATAAGAGCGAAAGGGCTTCTTCGACAAGTCTCAACTGGATTCGCCACACACCGTGTTGGAGGGAAGCTGGAGGTGAGGGAAAGATGGGAGGCTGAGGAAAGGCAACGCCTTATCGGCTGGCACATCAGATAGTCGGCTTGAAACCACATAGCGCCCCCATGCAATTGTACGCACTTCCTGAGCGGTAGTGGGTCGAAAAGTCCACGTGGCGAGCTTTCCGTCGATGAGATGTAAAACAATGACAAGGCGGCCTTCCCAAGGGACAGTGTGAAAATCCCATTTGACCTTGGATGTCCTGATGTTTTCGGCATGCCTGAAGCTGTGAGGAGTGCTTTTGAGTTAGGAAGTGAACGCACGTTCGTTTCGTCTCGTTTCGTTAGTGCTTGAAGTGTTTTGCTTGGAGACAGCTGCAAGGTGTTTCACTGTCAGTCAGAGCGACGCGACTCCGCTTTGGCCCAAAAAGACCGAGTGCTGCGCGCTCTGTTTTTCACATGGTAGCGGAGCTCCTGAGGACTTAGGAGCTTTACAGCGCCATGGCCTCGCCCTTGCAAGGTGGGAGTAGTGAGACTCCTGCTCAGAACGTCCCCGTGCCTGAGGAAGGCATGGACTTCGACCTGTTTGGACCAGAACCCGTGGGACCTGTAGGACCTGTGAACAGTCCTGCTGGGTCGCCGACAGCTCAGCAAGCAAGCAGCGGCTGCACCTGCGAGTGGTTCTGCAACAGTGCCAGAAGGTGTGAGTGGTCCGGCTGTAGCGCCGGCAGCTCCTGCTCAGTGTCCGGTTCCTCCGAACCCTGCGTTGGGAGGTGAACAACTGCAGCAGTTGATGTTGCAGATGCTGAACAACCAGAACACGGCTTTACAGCAACAGCAGAATCAGATGAACTTTTTGATGCAAGCTCAGAGTGCTCAGTTGACCCTCTTGAACCGCCGTTTGGACGAGGAAGAAGCCAGACGGAAAGCCGACGAGGATCGGCGAAAGGTGTCTTCGGACCCCTTTGCAGCTGCAGTGGCTGCTAGCAGTTCTGGAGCAGCGCCGACGGCGCCTACTGGGTCGCTTGTTGCCCCTCCGAGTGGGCCTGCTGCGAGTTCTGGAAGTTTTTCGAGTTTTGGTGGTCGTGCAGAGAAGTATCTGCCACCCCTGCCTCTCATCAATGCTGGTGAGATGAAGCAAGGCCGGATCCGGGAGCTTGAGGAGTTCCACCGCTTTCTGGAAGTGCTGTCCAGCTGGCTAGCATTGACCGATGACGCCTTTGTTGGCGAGCTAAGGCAGTGCTTGTTTGTTGCTGGTGAGATCCAGCAGGTTACTTTGCCCAGTGACACTGCGGGAAGAAGTGCACGTCTTTTTTACCTGTTGCAGCAAGCTTTGGCAAAGTGGGACAGAGGATTGGAGATCCTCCGGAGTGTTTCGACACGCCAGAGCAATGCAGCTGCAGGATATGAGGGTGTGAGAGAGCTTTACCGGCAGTACTCTGTGAACAGCCGCATGGAGGCGGTGTATATCAGAGACGAAATGCTAAAGCTCCACACAAAGACTGCAGCGCTGAAGCGCCCTCTGGAAGTTGTGCGTTTCCTCGAGGACGAAATCTCCAAGGGAGATAAAAAGCTGGTGCGTTTTCCCGACCTCTGCTTGAACGCCGCCGACAGATCGGCCATTTTGCTGCAAGCTGTGTCAGTGCAAGCCAGAGAGTACTTGGTGCTGCATGGCAAGACTGGCAGTTGGACCGAGATGGCGGAGAGTCTTCGTTTCTACGAGGAGCAGCTGCGCATGGTGGAGCTGCCCAGTGGTGGTTTGCGCGGTCTCAAAGGAGACAAAGGCGGGAAAGACGGCAAAGGCGCGAAAGGAGGAAAAGCCGGCGGTGCCAAGGACAAGTCCCAGATTGTCTGCTGGTACTGCGAGAAGAAAGGGCACTATCAAGAAGAGTGCCGCCAGAGGATCGCAGATGAGAAGAAGCAGGGCAAAGGCGACAAGAGCAACAAGCCCAAGGGCAAAGGCCAGGGCGACAAAGACAAAGGAAAGGGCAAAGAGAAAGGCAAAGGCAAGCATGGCAAGGATAAGGGCAAGGACAAGAAGACCAAGAAGCAGCACGCCCGTGCTGTAGCGGATGGCGAAGCAGAAGAGGAGCCGGAGGGAGAGACTGTGATGGCCCTTCGCGCTTCTGGCGAGTTGATTCCGGTTGATGCCCGTGGTGGCGTCTTGAGGACGACTCCTTCGACACCTGAGGTGCCTGCTGCGGCGCACCGAGTGACCGTTGAGCACAGAGTGTGCTTAGTTGGCATTGAGTCGCAAGATAGCTACTGGCTAGTGGATAGCGGTGCTACTTCTCATTGCATGTCGGTCTCCTGCTTCGAGAAGTATGAAGTCCTTCGCACTTATGATTTTAAGCCCACGCTGTCGAATGCCTCCAACGACATGATTGAAGTGTTGAAGGTGTGTGACGTTCGCGTTCGTTTTGGGAAGCTGGTGGTGGTGCTAGAGCATTGCTTGATCACGAACTTAGATTTCAATGTCTTGTCACCGTTTGTGGCTTGGCAGAGAGGATGGCACACCATGCTCACCAACACACCTCATATTTTCAACAAGAAGAACAAGAAACGCATTCGGTTGACTGTCAAGGATCGCGCTTGGTACGCGGTTGCTGCTTTGAAGGATTCTGGGGATAAGATGGAGGTTGATGCTTTGAAGCCCTCGTCGTCCCCGAAAGCAACGGAAAAGCCTGAAACCACGAAACCCCCGAAAGCCACGGAAAAGCCTGAAACCGCGAAACCCCCGAAAGCCACGAAAGCCCAGAAAGCCCAGAAAGC